TATCATCTAGGTTATCTACATGTAATGTGGGACATTCCTCGACCAGGTGGCAGAGGGCTGTGCCTCTCCCCCATGAAGCTCTTTGTACCTGCCTTGGCAGAAACAGCAGAAGAAATGCTGGAACTTTCCAGGGCCTTCAAAGCTCCTATCTCCTTTGCCTTCTCCTTTTCTCAAGGCAGCTGTCTTTGGATTTCAGCCACCACACTATGAGGAAGAACAGGTGGTATATGGAGGCTGGGTGTGGGCACTCTGCTAATGTCCTTCCTGTGGCAGCCCTGGGAATCAGCGGGTACTGGCTGCCAGACCCCAAGTGCACGTCTTGATGCTGTGGAGACTGTGGAGCAGAGAGGACCCGTCCCCGCTTAGCCTGCATCCCTGATGCTGGGAAAAGTGCCCAACAGTCAGTGTTTGGCTGGAACACACGTGCAGGTCCACTTCTGTACTGGCTGCACAGCCTCCAACTATAGAGGAGTATGGTAAGTGCCTCTCAAGCTCACCCTTCTCAGAGACACGCATCTCTCCAGCTCTCACTTTATACCTCCACCCTTTGAGAAGGGATCATTTATTTTTGCTCCCAGTTCTTGGCAGAGTCTCTAGCTGGCACCAGGTGTGTGTGTGTGTGTGTGTGTGTGTGTGTGTGTGTGTGTGTTGAAAGTATCACCAGAGTGTGCATTTGTAAGATTATTGCCAGATCACACTGGACTTAAGTTTCTACATCAAAGAAAGCATCTCCGAAAGCTGGCCTCTGGCATCCACATGTACACCATGGTGTGTGTACGTGTGCGCACACACACACCACAGATAAGTCAGTTAAAAAATGTCAGTGGGGTGTGTGTGCAGGTGTCTCTTTCATGACCCTCCTAGGTCAGATCCTCTGGCCTCATTCAGGGCCCATGAGCATGGTATCCTGGGACTGGATGAGTATCCTCATCCTCACTGCATCTGTGCCAACCTGGCACTGACTGAGACGGCATGAGATGCTGAGACTGTGGACACAGAGCTCCAGATGGCCTCTTCTTCACAGCCAGCTGTAGACCTTTTACTAGAGTCCATTTTCATATCATCCAATGAAGTGGTGGTGGTGGGGTCACAGGAATGCAGAGTGGAGCCCTCCAGCCTGTCCTACAGATCTGGAAACAGCCAATTGCTAGCTCCTTGCTTCTCTTCACTGCCACCCTGCCCACTGTGGAGTCCTCTGGTCTTTAGCACAGGAGGTGTATTCACAGCACAAGAAATTCAGTGAGCTCTGTTTATATAGGTCAGTTATTAACTCAGCAAATATGTACCGAGCACCTCACACACATTTGCTCTAAGGCTTCCAAGGAACTCAGTCTTCGGGAGACTTGTTTTCCTCCATTTGTTCAGGAAGTGGCCGCCAGGAGGGTCATGAAAGAGATACCTGCAGACCCTTACACTGACCAGTTTTAAAAATTACACTTATTTGTGTGCATGTGTGTGGGTTCACACACTATTGTGCACATGTCGCGGTCACAGGACACCTTGCAGGAGTCAGTTCTCTCCTTCCATCCTGTTGGGCCTGGGGACTGAACTCAGGTCATCAGGCTTGGTGGCAAGCCCCTTTACCCACTGAGCCATCTCGCCGTCCCCTCACTGGCTGTAAAAAGTCCCGGCAGTGGGCGAGTGGGAAAGGGAGACAGATGTGTGATGAAGTAGCAATGTCCTCCTCAGACACAACAAGCAGTTCAAGTGAACGAGAGCTGTTCTGGTTCCACAGGAACATCTAGTGTCAGCGTCCATCAAAGGACCATGTTAGGATGTGGCTTCCCTCCTAGTTTGATCCAAGTCACACGGCATAGATACTGACCACTACTTACGGTCTTTCCCTCCAGGAACTCCTAAGACAGCATCCAAAAAAAGGTTCATTAAAGAAGTTGTGCAGAACGCTGACCTGAATGCAGACCCTTACATGCTGAGCTGATGGTAAAGGACGGTCAGCTCCTGAGGGAAGCCACGCAACGCCTTCTCAAACACCAGGTTTGGGGCCCGTGGCTTCAGTGCAAGACTTCTGCCAGGTCTCTCCATAGGTAGCAGGACATGTCCAGCCATGGGGTGGTCTGGGTGATACCTTCCTGTAAGATGCACAAGGGGCCTTTCTTTGCAGCTGGAGTGCCGTAAATTAGTGCCTATCCTCGGCCAAAACCATCAGAGCTGTTCTTGAGACATTTGAGAGAGTTGTGCCTGGTTGCTGCCCACTCCGGAGCAGACTGCCACCTTCTAACTTTCCCCTGTGGGACACAGCTTATGAAAGCGGTCTGATTCAGCGCTGTTCCTTTTTCCTTCTAGTTTAGAGGTGGAACAGGGGGAAGGAAAGGGGCTGTTTCTGTAGTGCACCACAAAGCTCAGCCTGCACGGCCAGGGCTGGGTGTGGAAGGAGAGCAGCTGAGGTGGGGCGGAAACTGCCAAGGCCAGAAGATGGACATCCCAGTGACTGAAAACAAGAAAGTTGTTGTCCAACGCCAGGAGAGCTGGTGGTAGGCTGATTTTGGTCCTCTGAAACTCTCCAGCCTTTTCTTTCCTAAAAGCACAGTCAGCATCTTTATTCCAGTCCTCCTCCCCCAATCAGAAACCCCACGGGAAGCCAGGTACGGTGACATTCACCTGTCTGTAATCCCAGCACGTCAGAGGCTGAGGCAGGGGTAAACACAGACTACACAGCGATGCCCTGGTTAAAAAAAGGGAGCTGGCTGGGGAGGCGCTCGCCTTTGATGCCAGCACCGGGGAGGCAGAGGCCAGTGGATCTCTGAGTTCCAGGCCAGCCTGGGCTACACAGAGAAACCCTGTCTTGAAAAACAAAAAATAAACAAAAAATCATTGCTTTGCTCCAACAGTATTAGTTTATTCTGGCAAGTGGCTCTTTTAAGCCTGATTTGGAATACTCACTGGTTTTGGAGTCAGGATTTATTTATTGAGAGAGGGTCTTTCTATGTAGAACAAGCTGGTTTCAATCTAGCTCACCATGTGGGCTAGGAGGAAGTGTCTTTGGGGTCAATGCTATCTATCCTTGGGGTGCACTTGGGCCATCCCCATCTTGCATGGACCTCTTCTTCCTGACTCCATGGGATCCATCACAAGCCCTCACTCATTCAGGGTAGAAAAAAAATGGAATTACTGATATCTACTGAGATGCAAATCAGGCCTGATATGTAACCATCCTACAGCCTTGGTGGGAAGCTTACTCCTTGGTCACTGGGGTCCTGGTTGTGCCTTCCCACCCTAGGTGGTCAGACAAGACATCCTTCCCAGAAGCCTTCCTTCCAAGGAGCCTGCTAATGCTCAAAGACTTTGACATAGTCCAGAGTAGGCCAGCCAGCCTCTGCTGGGTCCTCTCTTATCATCTTATCTGGGACAAAGTGCTCTACTGTGGCTTCATCCCAGGTTGCTGAGGAAGGCCTGCAGAGCACATGGAATTGGTCCTGGGGTATCACTAATGGTTCACTTTCTCACCGGCAGTGCTGTGTGGCAGGTACAGGTCTGGGAATACTTCTGCACTAGGAAAGCCAGTGTGTCTGACTGGCCCACCGTTCCCTGAGGGTACCTCTAGTCATAAACAGGTATCCCTCAACAGCAGTACCCCAGCTCAAACTAGTCACCCACAGTCCTTGTGTGACGACAAGCCACTCAGCCATTTCCAAATCTGTTAGTAGGCATGCTGACTGCCAAAGGACACGGGTCTCATTTTCTGGAGGAAAATGCCGGCTGGCTGGCATGGTTAGGACCAGGTCCAAACAGCAGGTTTAATCAGAGTGAGTCTCATGGAGGGGGGACCGTGTAACAGGAGCATTCCCAAACAGTGTAGAGGATGGGTAGAAACAGCACACAGAATGACACAGAAGCAAGCAGGAAGCAGCCTACACTGGCTAGAAACAAAGATTTGGGTACAGAAGGCCCAGCTGGGGCCAGATTGCGGAGGGCTTTAAATGTCAGGCTGAGGGATTCATCAAGGGAACGAAATGATCAAACAGGTGTTTCAGGAAGATAAATCGGAAGAGAATGTGCAGGATGAATTGGAAAATCTGGAAGCATGGCAACAATTAGAAAGCTATGAGATTAATTAGGCCGTTCCAGCAGTCCTGTGTGAGTTAATAAGGGTGTAAATGAAAGAAGTGGTGGCAGAAATGGACAGGGACAGCTGCAAGCCCCGCTGTAAGAAAGAATGGATAAGGTCTGCTGCCTGATTGGACGGGGATGCAGGGAGCTCAAGGAGTCCAAGCATGGACAACTGGTAGTACAACGGGCAGACAAAGGGAGGCTGGAGACCTCACTGGTTTTCGTAGATATGGATGGAGTTCCAGATGCAGAGCCCACAGGATAACCAAATGCAGATGTCTGGCAGGTTCCTGGATGTGTACTAATGGAGCTCAGGAGAGACGGAGTACATGTTAATGAATCTGGGAATCAGGCTGAGAAGGAATAAGTGAGTCACCACAGAGACTGCACGGTGGAAGAAACAATGGCTGCCCTCTGGAGAAGTCCCCAGAAGGAGGTTTTCTACTGCAGAGCCAAGTTGAGAAAGGGCCACTCTGCTGACATCTCATTGCCATTCAATACCAGCTGGAAGAACATATTAGTTTGAGAAAACCAAGTAATGTAGCACTTTTGTCTCAGTGGGAACTAGATTATAAACGCCTTTAGTATGCCCTAAAACAAATTTGGTTTAAGTAAAGGCTGGTATTGATAAAGAAAAAAGATAAATGTCACAGTGAGCATCATCTAGCTTCATGGATTTGAGTCAAGCAATGAAAAGGAACACGTGATACACGTCCTAGGGTGACATTTGATTTGCGGTATTAGTAGATATTGACTCACTTTAATACAAGAAATTGCTAGATTGGAGGCTTGGGATGCAGCTCAGTGGTACAATGTTAGATGTACCCTGGGTTCAATTCCTAGTAATAAAAACAAAAACCCAAAACAGAACAAAAAATGATGCTGTATTTGCAGCACATTTTCTGTATAAGAAATTCAAACTATTTCATCAGTGCAGATTATTATTATTCTTTTATTGTTTTACATTTATGCAAGATTATTACTAGCCTAGTTTGGTCTTGAACTAATGATCCTCTCACCTCATCCTCATGAGCAGCTGAGGTTCCTGGCCTATCTCACCATGTCTTTACGGACTCTGTTTAAATAAAGGTATTATTAAGTACAGCGCAATCCAACACTTGTAAAGAAGTTGCTGGAAGAACTCTACAGCAACCCACACTAAGTATGTAGACAACTTTTCCTTTCCACAGTCAAGTATTTTTACATATATTTACTATATTGTATTTTTTGATGGTCACAATAAAATCAAAGGTTGGTGGTGTTTTATGCACTGTTAAAATTCTCTGGAGATTTTAGTACCGTCTACGCAGTCGTATCCTTTATAGTACAGCAGCTGATTCCATGGTACCTTCAATCTCTCTCAAAATCACAGATTTACATTGTAATATGTCCTTATGTTCAGTGAGTTCAGTGATTATTTTCTTTCATGGGGTGTTAACACTTATCGAGCGCAGCGAGGTGACAGCTCCTTTCTTCTTTCTTTCTTTCTTTCTTTCTTTCTTTCTTTCTTTCTTTCTTTCTTTCTTTCTTTTTGTTTGTTTATTCGGAGCTGAGTGCTACGCAAGCACTCTACCACTGAGCTAAATCCCCAACCCCTCTTTCTTTCTTTTTTAAAGTATGGAGAAAATTTTAGATATAAGGGAGAAGGCTGGCAGAGTGAAGAGTCCAGGCTGAACATGGCCAGCAGACTAAAGCAGACCGTGAGAGGGGAGGGGAGGGAGGGAGGGCGAGAGAGGAGACGCCGATGGAGAGGCGGCCCTGGGCCATGAGGCCAAGAGCAACGGCATCACCTTTTAAGCTCAGGTCAACCCTCTGACTTTTAAAAAAAATCCAAACTACACAAAATGGGATGCACCCGTCACCTGTTTAAACACAGGTGATGGAAGCCATCTTTAAAGACACGTGTGACCACTAATTACTTCATCTACATATAGGAAGAAAAGATGGAGAGGCAATCCTCTATCCTCCACCTGAAAACCAGAAATGGGAAGGCCAATACTGGGATCTTAAAGAAGGGAGTGGTAGAATGGACCCAGGTTCATGCCCCAGCACACAGACACACAGAGACAGACAGACACAGACACAGACACAGACACACACACACACACACACACACAGAGTCAGGCAGTCAGACAGACACAAACACACAGACAGACGCCTACACACATGCGTGCCCTCTTGCCCCAATGGGCAAGAAAGAGGTGCTAACCGAAGTAGTAACAGTTTTCTTGACGTCCTTAGACATTTAACTAAAACCCAAAGTTTAATTTTATCAGCTAAATTTAATGCAAGTGTGACCTTTCAAGATGCCAATATTATCAAATCTCTTTTAATATTAAAAAAACCAATGGGGGCTGGGGAAAAGGGCTCAGCAGGATTAATTACTACATCACTGAGAAATTAATTTCATTTCAGCTTTCGGCTGACTTGTAGAACACTGGGGAAATCTAGAGACACAACAAAGAAAACTAGCAAGGTTCACTGTGAGTACTCACACTCCCACACAACAAGGAAATAACAGTTTGTTCAGGGTTGGTTCTCACTGGGGTTACAGTGGAGAGGAGTCCTGGCCTCACCAAGTCAAGGGGACTGCACTAGTTCACACCCCGGGGCTGCAGTTCTAGAGTCATCCAATGGAGTCAACGTTTCGTGGGGTAGAAGACACGGGCGTTGTTATGTCAGAAGAAGATTCCTAATAGCTTGTTCTTGTTACATCTAACAAGTCTGCAAAGCACACATCCTATTTCAGAAGAGGTGCTTCCTTGGAGATGCTTAGCTTCAACTTCTTCCAGGCCAATTAGAGCCAAAATCCAAATGTTTGGGATTAAATGATGAACTACTCTCCAAAAATCCATAAAATATTCACACCAGAGAGCCCAAGATTAACTCTCCTACAAAGAAAGAAAAAACAGTTTTAGCAGAATTGCTCGCCTGAGTACCAAGGTCTGATCCTAATAAAGTCAACAACAGGAGGGACATCTCTTTAACTGGTGACAGCAGAGCTGTCACAGCCCAGCAGGTGAGCTCTAGTAACTGTGTTTAAAAGCTAGGTTTAGAAAAAAGAGGTTTATAGGGTGCTGAAAATTAATTTTTCAGTTGGGAGGTGGTGGCACATACATGCCTTTAATCCCAGCACTCGGGAGGCAGAGCCAGGTGGATCTCTGTGAGTTCGAGGACAGCCTGGGCTACAGAGTAAGATCCAGGACAGGCACCAAAACTACACAGAGAAACCCTGTCTTGAAAAAAAACAAAACAAAACAAACAAACCAAACAAAAATCCAAGTCCGAAACCTGCTGTGGCCAACCTGAAGCGCTGGAGGGTTGCACTACTTCTGTTAGTCACAACTATGACGTGTGGTTTCAAAAACTTGAAGTGGTTGTCTTTGGGAAACAGGAACTGTTCATTTTAGTCATCAACTTTCTGCCCCAGGCTTTACTGAAGTCATTCATACTCTAAATTATAGGATGGTAGTTTTTGGTTTTTTTAAAGACAGAGTCTTAACTGTGTAGCTTGTGTTGGCCTGGAACTCACTATACAGCTTAAATTCACAATCCTCAGCTAGGTGGTAGTGGCACACACCTTTAATCCCAGCACATGCGAGGCAGAGATGGGTGGATCTCAGTGAGTTTGAGGCCAGCCTGGGCTACAGAGCAAGTTCTAGGACAGCCAGGGCTACACAGAGAAACCCTGTATTCAAAAAAAAAAAAAAAAAAAAAAAAAAAAAAAAAGGACTGGAGAGATGGCTCAGAGGTTAAGAGCACCGACTGCTCTTCTAGAGGTCCTGAGTTCAATTCCCAGCAACCACATGGTGGCTCACAACCATCTGTAATGAGATCTGGTGCCCTCTTCTGGCCTGCAGGGATACATGCAGGCAGAACATTGTATACACAATAAATAAATCTTAAAAAAAAAAAAAAAAAAAAAAATCACATTTCTCCTGCCTCCTGCCTCAGCCTCCAATGCTGGGATTACAGGTATATTCCACCACACCTGGCCTCAACTATCTGCTAGTTTTTAAAAGCACTTTTAAAGGTTTATTGTTTTATTTTTGTGTGTATATACACCATGTTTACTAGTCCTTGGGGAGGTGGGTAGGGTGTTAGATCCCCTGAAGCATTGTGAACTGCTGTGTGGGTTCTGGGAACTGAACTCGGGTTCTCTGGAAAAGCAGCAAGAGATTTTAATTTCTTTTTTTTTTTTTTTTTTCCGTTTTTCGAGACAGGGTTTCTCTGTGTAGCTTTGCGCCTTTCCTGGGACTCGCTTGGTAGCCCAGGCTGGCCTCGAACTCACAGAGATCCACCTGGCTCTGCCTCCCGAGTGCTGGGATTAAAGGCGTGCGCCACCACCGCCCGGCCGAGATTTTAATTTCTAAGACAGCTGAAAAATATTAATACTTTTAAAGTTTTTTTTTTCTTCCTTGGTTAAAAAAATACAAGGGAGGATGAAGAGATGGTTCAGTGGGTAAAGCCCTTTCTGTAATCATGAAGACCAGAGTTCAGATCCTCAGCATTACCGTAAATGCCAATTGGGCAGGGCAGCCTCTCTGTAATTCCAGTGTGGACAGGGCAAAACCTGGGCAAGCTGGTTAGTTAGCCCAGTCAAATTGCTGAGCTCTAGGTTCAAGTGGTGAAACCCTAATACACTGTTTAGAATAATGGAGGAAGACACACAACATCAACTTCTAGTCTCTACACATACCCACATACATATATGTGAACACACACAGACACATGCACACATAACACACATACATACACATGTAAACAAACAAGAAGTAAAAAAAATTAAAAATTTAGCCAGGCAGTGGTGGCGCACACCTTTAATCCCAGCACTCAGGAGGCAGAGCCAGGCAGATCTCTGTGAGTTCGAGGTCAGCCTGGTCTGCAGAGTGAGATCCAGGACAGGCACCAAAACTACACAGGGAAACCCTTTCTCAAAAAAACAAAAAAAATGAAAAATAAAAAAATAAATAAAAATTTAGGGGCTGAGTGGTAGAGAAATTGCCTACTTTGGGTTCAATACCCAGCACACAGAAATAACAATGGGAACTAAGCATTTTTAAACTTATAGGAATTCTTTTGGGCCTTAAATTACTGCTCAATAAAGTTCTTGAGGTTTTTTTGTGTAGCCCTGGCTGTCCTGGAACTCACTCTATAGACTAGGCTGATCTTGAACTCACAGAGATCCGCCTGCCTCTGTCTCCTAAGCGCTGAGATCAAAGGCGTGCGCCACCCCCACCCAGTGAAGTTCTTGAGTTTTATGTTATCAAAACCAATCAATTATTACATCAAAATATCAATATGGACATTTAGGGGAAAAGAAAAATTTCAGAAAGCAATAGAAGACACACCCAATGTCCTCTGGCATCTGTGAGTGTGCTCAAGGGTGCATGAGTGTATACACATACACACACACACACACACACACACACACACACACACACACACACCAGTGTAAAGTCCAGATTGGGAAGCTGGGCACGGTGGTGCTCACCTTACTAAGAACTCTGGAGTTGGAAGCAGGAAGTTTGGGAATTCCAGGACAGTGTGTGACATATGAGACACAGACTCAAAAGGAATTCTTCTAAAACATTAGAAGTCCAGGCTGGGGATACAGCTCAGGAGAATACTCAGCATGAATGAAGCCCTGGCTCCACTGCTCAGCACTGTCAAAACTGACCCAACAACCTAAGTCCTCAAAAGCTAAAAACTCACTAAGTATTTAAAATATTTTACACTAAATTCATTGTAGCATGAAAACAGCCTTTCAGGAGCCAGGCATGGCAGTGCACACCTTTGATCCAAATGCTATGGAGGCAGAGGCAGATGGATCTCTGAGTTCAAGGCCAGGAAAGCCAGGGTTACATAGAGCAACCTGTCTCAAACAAACAAAACTCCAGCCTTTCAGACACACTAAGTAAAAAACCTTTTTTTTTTTTTTTTTTTGGTATTTAAACTTTAATTTTTTCTGTGTCTGAGTGTTGTGTCTGCACATGTGTATGTGTACTGTGTGTGTATGTGTACTGTGTGCATACCTAGTGCCTGTGGAGGCCAGAACAGGGTGTCAGATCCCCTGGAACTGGAGTTAAACAACTGTGAGCCACCATGGAGGTGCTGGGAATTTAACCAGGGACCTCCGCAAGGGCACCCAGGCTCTTAACCACTGAACCACGCCCAGTTTCAACAGTGATTTCTGTATATTAACAATAACACTTGTTGCAAATTTCATATTCCAGTCTATATATGCATACATATATTTATAATGAAGCCTTACTAGAAATTTTAGAAAAAAATATGTGCTTAGTGATACTGACAAATGCCTAAGACACATCATAAAATTAAAAGTCAGCTCAAACAGCATAAGTTTGGGTGTAATTCATTTTTAAACAAGTGAAAGATACAAGCTCATTTTCAAATTAGTCTGGATATTGAAACCCTGACACTGGGCACCTTGTGAGAGAGGAATGGAGAGGCTGAGTTGAAAGTTATTTTCATTTTCTGGTGTGCACTGTTATGCCATTTCAGGATTTCTATACTGAGCATGCATTATTTCTGCAATTGAAAAATAATGAAAAACCTTCTTAGTTTAGATGCTTTACACAATGATTTTTCTATTGAATCTTTCTTATATTCAAAAATATGATGCAAGAAGTGACTGAAGGGCTGGTGAGGGCTCAGTGGGTAAGGTGCCTGCTGCCGAGCCTGATGGCCTGAACTTAATCCCTGGGACCCATGTGGTGGGGTGAACTGACTCCTCCAAGTAGTCCTCTGACCTCCATACATGTACCTTGGGGTCTATGCTCTCCTCACCAAACAGACAGAGAAACGTTTAGAGTTTCTACTCACATCTGCTTTAATCTTTGACATGTCATCAATACATTTGGGACAGAGCTTTGCTTGCATTAAGGCAGTGCATTCCATAAGAGGTAAGCATGCCGCCATGTCACCCTGTCTCCACATTCCCAGCAGACTCCTACACAGCCACATTCAAAGCAGCGCTCAGGATGTGAACAGCACAGAACTCATGGAAGCAGATAACTGCTTCTTTCAGTGAAGTCTGATACTCATTTTGCCTTCTAGGGTGTCTCAGTTCAGACAAGTCATGCTCTGAGTATTCAGTGGCACACGTGCCCATGGCTGCGGTGCTGGCAGCACGTTCTGGAACATGTCTAATTTCTAAATTATGAACAGCACATTTAAACACAACCTTTTTCACAGAGGCATGCCCACCAGAGTGGAACCAGCCACAGATGTCATGTGAACCAAGCATTTCCCTTGACATTTCATTAATTTTCGGTCCTTGTTATGACAGCTGGACCCCAGAAGCTAAGTTTTCAGACTCCCAAATCATATATTACCAGATTTCCTCAGCCATGGGAGTGGTCCACTTATTTCAAACAGTATTTGAAATACTAAAGCACTGAATCATCAACATGACAATACAGTAATTTTGAATTTGTAAATAATGTGAGCTCATTACTGAATTCATAAACAACTTCGACAGACTATTTTTCATCCCAATTAGCAATATTTTGGAGTGGGTACAGAGTAGGCCCTTTGGAAGTATACAGATTTTTGCGGAATGCTTTGTGTCTAAAATGGAATAGCTTGGAAAGCAGATTCCAAGTTTCTGCTTTTATATCTTCAAGTGGCAAGAGTCTGATTTTTATCTATTTCAGAGATGTTCCCCAGGGGATACAACAGTAAAGCCAACTGGACGGCGTCCAACTGACTTTACCAACAGGGAGACGGGAAGTTCTGAAGCCTTAGTGGACTAGACACTGGTTGAGAATTCTGTCCACGCGTCTTCTGGTGTATGTGCTGCCTCCTGCAGAATCTTAACACAGAAAGAAACTCTAACTAAATTAAGTACTTAACTTTCAAATCATAAATACCTACCCAAGCATCCCCGACTCTTTGGTCTTTATGATGTACAGGAACATCAACAATGTATGAAACATGTTATTTCTGCCCTAGAATCAAGACAAAAACAGTAAGATTGAAACTAAAGAGTTTCAGTCATGTAGGCAAATGCAGATCTTACAGTTTGTATCCACTGGTTCAGAATTTTCCATAACTCAGAGTTGTATCCGTTCACTACACAACACTACTGCGGCGAGACGGAAAGGATCCAGAACACAGAGCTGACTCTGAGCAGGAAAGGCCTGGCAGTGCAGGCCGAGGAACAGGTGGGAGGAGGGCGATGGGGAGCAGCATGCCAGAGGACAGAGAAGCCTCCAACCTTGACTGCAGAGGCAGGAAATGGCTTCTGAACTGCAAAAATGTAAAACAGACTTGAACTATGAACAGAAAGTTGACAGACTGGGTGGGGTGGGGTGGGGGTCTCACACATGCAGAACCAATGTGGTGAAGTGTGGAAGAAAGAAAGCATTTCTGATGTTGACACACACGACACGTAAAACATGTTCCATCCCAGTGAGCACAGTAACAGAGCGGTCGGACTCACATAGCTCTTAGTTATACTTCAGAATACACTGCAGTATGCTTTCAGTATGTAAAGACCATGCTAAATGATTTTACTGCTAAGGGACAGTTAGGCAATGTTTTGCTGGCTCTGAAATCCAACTTTTTTTTTTTTTTTTTTTCCTGAGACAGGGTTTCTCTGTGTAGCCCTGGCTGTCCTGGATCTCACTCTGTAGACCAGGCTGGCCTTGAACTCACAGAGATCCTCCTGGCTCTGCCTCCCAAGTGCTAGGATTAAAGGCGTGCACACCACTGCCCGGCTGAAATCCAACTATTATATGTAAGTGTTGGGCTACAAAATCCCTCTATTGCTAGATCAAATTTCCCTTGACTTTGGGTGTTTGCTCGGGAATCTGAGGATACCTGAATTTACAAGGTAGTGGTTTTCTTTCATACATAAACAAAGGGTGGGCATGGGTAGTGACAGCAATCTCCAAGGCTCACAATACTTACGCATTTACCCCAGGAAAACCAATAAGCCAGAAAGAAGTGAGATTACTATGTCTGCTAGGATCCGATGGAGATCTCACTGTGTAATGATTGCCAACAGCTGTGTGTGGAGGAGCCTGCCTGAAATGCGAGTCTAAGGGAAACTGAGGCAGGCAGGACTGAGCATTAGAAGCCAGCCTGGGCTACATTTTGAGAGCCTTCCCCCGCCCCAATCCAAACTAAAAATCAACAAAAAGAAATTGCAGTCAATATAAAGATGCTGATTAAAAAAAAAAAAAATAGAAAGGTCTGAGGCCAGCCTGGTCTACAAAGCAAGTTTCAGGACAGACAGGACTGTTACAGAGACAAACAGCCTTGAAAAACCACAAAACAAACAAAAAACACCTAGACCCCCCAAAAACAAAAAACAAAACCAGAAAGAGCTGAGAAAATGGTGTACATCTCTAATCCCAGCACTCAGGAGGCAGAAGCAGGAGGATCTCTGTGAATTTGAGGCCAGCCTGGTCTACAGAGCAAGTTCTAGGACAACCAGAGCTAGTGAGACCCTGTTTCATACCAAACACAAAAGAGAGCAGAAGGCCCCACAGGAAGCATTCGGGAGGTGACCTGACAAGAGGCAACAGCGGCGGCGGCGGCTTCTCAATGAGTGGTTTTCTTCACACTCCCAAGTTAAAACCTGTTGTGTTCACGGTACACAGAACACAAAACCAAACCGTGTTCTGTCTCACACACACAGGCACAGCACTTGAGAAGCTAGTGTTAAGATTACTGAAAACTTTAGGCCAGCCCGGGTTACAAAGTGAGACCCTGACTCAAAAATAAACAGATTCCATTTTTAAAATGTTATCAAAATGCCATCATGACATCCCCTAGCAGCAAGGTCTTTAGGGTTAGGGACGCAGTTCCGTGGTAGAACGCCTGCCCAGTATACGGGAGTCCTGAGTTCAATCCCTAGAACTGAAAAGAAATACCTTTGGAAGGTTGTAAACATGACGCTGATAGATTAGCTCATAATGTGGAGGGTTGACTGCACTCTGGTAAATACAAAACACATTTTCATTCGTGACATCTGTAAAGAAAATATGGCATGTTAAAAAACTAAACCATGGCCAGCAGCGGTGTGGCACGCCTTTAATCCCAGCAATCAGGAGACAGAGGCAGGCAGATCTTTGTGAGTTCGAGGCCAGCCTGGTCTATAGAGTGAGTTCCAGGACAGCCAAGGCTACACAGAGAAAGCCTGTCTCAAAAAACCAAAACCAACCAAGCAAAAAAACCAAAAACAACCCCCAAAAACAAAAACAACACAACCCCTCCCCACAAAAAACCAAACCAACCAACCAAAACAAAAAACCCAACACAAACCATAAAGGAATTTCAGGGGAAAATCTCACCGAGTTCTTTTTAGGAGGTAGTACCTGGTTTATTTGGTGTCTGAACGAAGTGTTGAGAAGTGAATGTTTTCCCATCGGGGTACTTAGGGTGTGGAGGTAGTCTGGAGTCAAGGTAGGTGCAAAACACATGCATGATGATCTGAGGAGACAACAGCTGTGCAAAGTTAGAATGGCAACCTAGTACAGATCCATGTACAGATAGAAATATCTGTACAGATAAAAATAACTTTTTTCTTTGTTTTTCTTTTTGAGACAGGGTTTCTCTGTGTAGCTCTGGTTGTCCTGGAATTCAATCTGTAGACCAGGCTGGCCTCAAACTCATAGAGATCTGACTGTCTCTGCCTCCCAAGTGCTGGGATTAAAGGCGTGTGCCACCGATGCCCAGCTAAAAATTACTTTTTATAAAGAAAAGAAATTTACTTAAATCACAAAAGAATTTAGTGTGCTGATAAGTAAGGCTAAGCTTATAGTTCAAACAATCCACTCCAGGGCTGGTACGTAGCCTAGTGGGTAGAGCACCTGCCCTGGCTGAGATCTCCAGCACCCCCCCTAGAAAATTTCACACAAAATTGAAAAAATATATTTTCCATCATATCAACTTAATCTTTTAATGGAAAGTTTTCCCTTCCAAATTTTAAAAGGAAAGGATTAAAAGCTCCAACGTGAGGGGTGGGTGTGGTATATGCAGGGTAACGATTTAAACACCAAACTTACTTCATCTTCATTTTTGTTTTTTTATAGCAATTCAAGGAAGCAGAACATTCCTCCTCCCTCTTTGAGTTTCTCCCTCACCCTTGTGTGCATGCATGTGTGCGTGTGTGTGTGTGTGTGTGTGTCTGTGTGTGAGCGCATGTATTTGGAGACTGTACCCAGAGTCTCAAACACACGAGGCACATGTTCTGTCACAGATCTATACACTTAGCCCTTTTTTATTTTGATACAAGGTCTCATTAAGTTATTCAGGTTAGCCTTGAACTCACTCTGTAGCAGCTTAAGCAGGCCTGGAAGGGAACTTGCCATCTTTCTGCCTCAGCTTTTTAAGTAGTAGGGATAACAGGCCTACACTTGACCTGACTCCTTATTTTAAGTAGAGAATTTGCAGTCATGCAGCCGCCAGCAAACCAAGGAAATCTGCATACATTCAATTCTCAATTTGAATATCAACATCAAAAATTAATTTTCATGTAAATAGTTAATTCAAAAAAATCCACAGTTTTGAAAAACATAAACTTTAAAGCCCTTTGATTTGCTAAATATGATAGTAGCAATCTTTCCTAAAATAATAATCCCACATAAGAAAGAATGTGTCATAATATTCTTTGCTACATTATGTAACACAGAAAAACAAATTCTTTCCCATCATCACTTTATCAATAGTTAAATGATGACACCTAATAATGTGAAGTGCTTCAATGTCACAAAAGTGAAAAGGGAGCAGAACACATCAGCGGCACAAGTGTCCCTCAGCCATCCTCAGGGACCTGAACCAGCAGCAGCACCACTTGACGGAGCAGACAGTCTTCGCAGTGGCTGGGCAAGAGGCTGAGGGTACTCTGATGATGATTTTCCTTAGTTCCCAAATCCTTTCTAATACTTTGTAAGGACAATAAAAGCATGGGAACCGAACAATAAAGACAGCCGTACAGCAGCATCAGTGGGCAGGTCTGTATCCCACTTGCGCCCTTTGAAGTCTCCACCTCTGTTCCAGCGGAACGAGCTCATACAGCCTCCCTGAGAAAGTTCTGTGCAAAGAAAGTGAAAATTAAAACGCTGAGACATATTCAAAAAAAGAAAAACAAACCAAAGAGAGAAAGGAAAGCTAGAATATTACAGGAGTAAAGCACACTGTTGTAAAAAGTTACCAGAATATTCCCCAAAAGGAACATAAGATATAAAAGTTAACATCGCTACAAAGACTCAGGTAATTCTGAAATATGACTGCACAGTTAGAATGTCTTATATGGGCTGCTAACAGAATTCTTTAATGTGTGGAGAACTGCATTGTGGGTATGTAAACCATGTTCTTAGCAAAACATATGCTGAAAAGCGCTGTGGGATGTCTTTGTACGCTGTGAGTGTGTTGCTCTGATTGGTTGATAAATAAAGCCGTTTAGCCTATGACAAGTCAGGCTATAGCTAGGCAGGAAACTGAAGAGAGAGACAGGAAGAAAGGCAGGGGGGCGAGAGCCAGCACCACCAGAAGAAGCAAGATGTGAAATTACCGGTAAGCCACGGCCATGTGGCAACTTATAGATTAATAGAGATGGGTCAAGTTATAAGAGCTGGCTAGCAAGAAGCCTTCCATAGGCCATGCAATTGTAATTAATATTAAGCCTCTGCATGATTATTTTATAAGCGGCTGTGGGACCTTGGGGCCAGGTGAGACCGGAGAAATATTCCAGCTACAGAAAAGTAATGATGTCTACAATGTAATCTCAAAAATTGTGTGTATGTATACACATGGAGGGAGAGTCAAATATGGGAAAACACCTCTCTGTTCACTCTAAGTGGCATGACTTTCATTATAGCCTGGAGGTGGTGGTGCACACCCTTAATCCTAGCACACGGGGGTCAGAGGCAGGTGGATCTCTGTGAATTCAAGGCTAATCTAGTCTACAGAGTGAGTTCCAGAACAGCCACAACTGTTACACAGAAAAACTCTGTCTCAAAAAACCAAAAAAACAAATGAAAAACCAAAAAAACAAACAAAAAACCAAAAAACAAACAAAATAAGGCATTCAATTTTTTTGTATTTTGATGATACCTCATACACATATTTTCAATTTATATGTACAAATACTATCAACAAAGCCAACACTATCAAAATATCTGAATCTGAATCTATAGGAAATATAGAGAACAGAGGTTCTATAAACTATACCATGGATATATTCACAAAACCCAGCTCTATAAGACAACAATCTATGTCTTTCAACAAATACCGTGTAAAGATTAAAAAAAAAAAAAAAAGGATGGACAGGAAAACTACAACTTAAAAGAAAGAGATTAATTTATCATAATACATGATAGTATTTGAACCCTGCTTCAAACAAACAGTATTTAAAACAGGATTATATATTTCATGAGATGGTAGGATATTTAAACATATACCGGATGTTTCATAAAATAAGGGAAATATTACAAATGTGAGGTATGATAGCTAATATGTGCTAATAGTATGGTAGCATTGTATAATGCTTTATGTTTTAGAGATACATTAAGGAAACATTATGGGGGCTACAGAGATAGTTCAGTGGTTAAGAACACCGGCTACTCTTCCAGAGGACCTGGGTTCAATTCCCAGCACCCACATGGCACCTCACAACTGTCTGTAGCTTCAGTTCCAGGGAATCCGATACCCTTATAACATCCATGCAGGCAAAACAGCATTGCACATGAAATAACAGTAAGTCATTAAAAAAGGAAACATTACAGATGAACGGACAACTGAAAGACCATCCATTGAGGAGCTTTACAAATGGACGGCCCTGTCTGACAGCAAACCTAGGACTTCCTCAATCAAACAGAAGTGAGAAAGGAATACAGGGCAGGTGGCCTGAGCAGAGATGTCTGAACTGGCTGATGTTTAGAAGAAGGCTGTGTGAGGGTTTTTGTTTGTTTGTTTGAGGTGCTGGGCATTGAGTAGGCAATCAGATACGTTCTCTATCATGGAGTTCCATGTAGTGTTCCATGTACACGTAAAATTCTCCGTATGTGCTAAGTTTCTAGAAAGTCATGAAAAAATGCTTATTCCTAAGTCTGAATCCAAGCATGGGTTAAGGCAGAGGACTCTAACACTTTCCAGTTAAAATATCTGAAAAATTTGAATACTGAAATACCATTTTTAAAACTTGCTTTAACAAAGGAACATTTTACAGTCTGTCCAAATGAAAAGTAACTCTAACTTTATAAATTGTTCTCTAAGTAGAGAGGTATAATGAAGAGAGTATACGGGCAGGCTTGGGAGGTTGATCTTCCTGATTCCAGGTCAATTTCCTCAGATCCCATTGCCCCCAATCCTAAGCACATAACAGAAACCATGAATTAAATAGAAATCACAAAAATTACAAGAAGGAGATTCGCATACCAATATTACAAAGAAAATCACAGTGGCACCCAGTCCTCGGTAGTGTGAGTACAAGATGAGTGCAGCCTCTTAACTCATATTTACGTTTCTTACACAGAATAAAAATAATTAAAATATTCAGGGACAGTCCTCTGACACTTCTTAGTGTGCTAAATAGGTGACTGAAAAGGTGTTCAAGTATAAGCTTTAATTAACCCGTGCTTAAATATATACTTATAAAATAGAAGACCATAATTACATTTTTACTTTTTCAAAATATGTTTTTCCTTGTTATCTTTCATTTAAAAAATCCTAATATTGCAAAAGAGCTTTTAATTTTTCCTCTTCAAATCAAGTTACCTTTGATTCTTTCAAACAAGTACTCCTGATTTGGTGTTAGGTCTAAATACTGCACAATTGCATTCAGAGTTGGGATGAGAGGAGCTTTGACCAGGGCAGCTTGCTTCAAGCTGGTAACACTTGCCTCTGTTAAAACACAAAGAACACAAATTCCTCACCACAGAGACTTGCGGTGAACTTCAAAGTTTTCCCTCACCTGTTTTCAAATAGCTGGCTCCTTAACGCCGTCAAGGTTTCACACAAGTAGGTGATGTCTTCCTCACACTCTAGCTCACATTTCACCCTCTTCTCAGCACAAAGATGAGTAACTACTCCTATGCTGTGTTTCTGTCCAAGCACTAATTATTTTCTCCTACCAGTCTGTCTCATCTATTAGAAAGAGCCCAACAAAGGCAGGGGCTTCAGTCATTGTTTTATAGTGCTACGCCATCCCAATGCCTAAAACAGGACCCGGCACATTGTAGGTACTCAGGATTTGTTGAAAGAATAAAGGAGAGCAAGAATTAATCTTTCTTAAAAGATTTACTTTATAATTTAAAGATGTCTTGCCTACATGTATATCTGTGTACCACATATATACTTGGATGCCATCTAAGGCTGAAGAGGATGGCAGATCCCCAGGAACTGGAGTTACATTTGGTTGTGAGCTGCCATAGAGGTGATAGGAATTGAGCCTGGTCCTCTGGAAGAGCACAAGAGCATCTTTCTGGCCCCTTATTTTTCAATGATTTTTAACCATGCCTATTTCTGTGTGTCTGTGTATAAAGAGTGCAGGTGCCCATGGGAACCAGAGGTGTCAGATCTCTTGGAGCTGGAGTTACAGTTGGTTGGCGGGTACTGGAAACTGAACTCAGGTCCTCTGTCAGAGCACTATGTGCTCTTAATACTGAGTCATCTTTCCAGGCCAGAATGGGTAATATTGTAAAAAATGCATTTTGAGTATTAGTTGGGCATACAAAGAAATAAAGTACCTGGGTGAAACTTAAAAACATTATTTCCCGTGAAAGACATCAGTCACAAAGGACCACACACTGAGTGGCACCACTAACACAAACTATCCCGACAGGCCTGTCTGCAGAGACAGGAACAGGCTGGCGCTTGTACACGGCCGAGGGAGTGTGTGGAAAGGAGAGGGACTGCTGAATGGTGTGGGGTGATGAGACAGTATAAAATTAGCTGGGGTGATGGAGGGTTCAAGCCAAACCTATGGACTGTCCACTTTCAATAGGCAAATGGTACAGAAGGTAAGCATACCTCAAATAAAGCTGCTACATTTAAAAAACAATTACAAATGTTTCCTTCCTCACCTGAAGACAACGGAAGATGTTCCACAGCCCATTACAAGAAGCCGTTTTCCACTGAACTCATTTCCTGGAGTAAACCCCAGACAGAGTTCTGCTTCACATACCTCCTATCTGTAGCTCAGGACAGCCCATCCGTCTCATCTGAGTGCTGACAGACTCGATCTCTTGCACAAGTGGCACTAATATTGTCTCACTGATCCACTAGGAAGGAATGAAGAATAGCTTCTGTAGTTACCATTCCAAAGTGTTCTTAAATCATTACCTTTTCCTTTTTCAGGCAACCTTTTGTCTTCCACTTGACTAACAGAATCATAAACCACGGAGGTGCTGAGAGCGCAGGTATGCTCCCACGCACAAATCAAGCCATGTTCTTAAGTCATATACGCTTTTCATTTCAGAAAATGTGAAACTTTCAACTAGATTATCAATTTTTTTTCTAAATTTCTGTTTTTAAGATGGACACAGTGACTCATGCCTGTAATCTGAGTACTTGGGAGGTCAGGCAGGAGGATTGTTAGAAGTTTGAGACCAGCTGGCATATATATATCAAGTACCACATCAGCCAGAGCTACATTATAAGACCTGTCTCCAAAACAAAATACTTTCTGATTGCTATTCTTGACTGAAAGGAAACATGACCGTCAGTCTACATTTCTAGAGGTAATTACTCACATATTACCATACCACTTATACTGGTTTATAATCAGTAAAACAGTTTTCAAACTAGGGTAACTGATTAACTCATTATAGGCTTGCCCATGACTAGCTGCAGACAAACACATTTATTATATTTAAAAGCAGTTTGTAAATATTACAGTATTTAAAGGTAATACTGTAAAGATTGGGGATTTCAAATCCCCCTTTCCACAGCTAGTATCAAACTAATCTGGAGGTGTGAGAAGGCTGCACAAAGGGAATCTCCGCCTGGTAAGTTTGTGTGTTACTGTTCTCTGTATCTGCAGTGACCCTGACCACTACTTTTGTTCCTAAGCTTTTGTTTAACTATGAAAGGATGAAAATGTTCCAGACGAAATACAAATTCACAATTCCTTATAACAAGTTTGAATCATAAAACCTCTGAAAATTGAAAGCCCCTTTCTTTCTTTTTTATATTATTTTATTTTTAGTTGTGTGTGTGTGTGCGCGTGCGCTCGTGTGAGTAGAGGGGCTTACTCAAGCCAGAGGCACTAGAAGCCCCTCAGCTGCAGCTACAGGTGATGTGAGCTGCCTGACATGGGTTCTTGGGACTAGACCCAGGTCCTCTGCAAGAGCATCCATGCTCACAGCTGCTAACCCATCTCTCCAGCTCCGAAAGCCTGTCAAGTCTTTTCATTGTAAACGTTAGCATTTCAGTCTGGCTTGTAATGGAAGTATAACAATGTACAGTTCCAAGGACATCCTGTCACTTACTCATTCTTAACATTATTACATGCAAACAACTCACTATCTACTCTTTGGTGCTAGCAAAACTGCCTAGTTAAAAGAGATACAGGCCTCATGCCCAGAAATTCTGACTGAGAATGATGGGACTGGACTCAAAATATTGTATGTATGTATGTATGTATGTATGTATGTATGTATGTATGTATGTATGTATTTATTTTCTTATATTTGTTTTCTCTTGAAACAGTGGCCCATGATATAGCCCCAGCTAGTCTTAAACTCTCACACTCTTGCCTCAGTCTCCTTAGAATGTATTATATGCACGTGCCACCATACCTGGCTAGTTACCTCTCCCTCTTGATACCTTACTTAAAGCATAATAATAAAACAAAATTCTTCCAAGCCATGGAGGGGGAGTCAGTCTGTCACAGAACCTGGGACTCACAGACACTCTGAGAATGGGAGAAGAAAACCTGAGAAACGAGCATGCCTGTGTGGGGGAGTCGGTGTAAACAGTGGGGGGATTCTTGTCTAGGGAGGGAAGGAAACTGCGTGAATACTCTCAGTAGCATCCAGCACACGAGAGTTTTCCCAGGGTTGCCTTCTTGTCTCCTCACAATTCTAGGTATGTAATGTACTGACAGAAAATCTTTTGGGGAAATAAAATTGAAAATTTGGAAAAGGGAAGAACTTAAAAACATGCTGTTCCTTTATTTTCTCTAACTACACTGATTAAACACGGAAAGGAATATACAATCCCAAGAAAGCAGATGCTGTGAGGTGACTGTCCTCTCTACCCTATGTGCACCTTGAACAGTCAATTCTAACAGAGGAGACTCTCCTCTCTACTCCTCTATGTGCACCTTGAACAGTCAATTCTAACAGAGGTGACTCTCCTCTCTACCCTATGTGCACCTTGAACAGTCAATTCTAACAGAGGTGACTGTCACTTTTTGTTTTTGTTTTTGTTTTTTGAAGACAGAGTTTCTCTGTGTAGTTTTGGTGCCTGTCCTGGATCTCGCTCTGTAGACCAGAACTCAGAGATCCCCCTGGCTCTGCCTCTCCAGTGCTGGAATTAAAGGCATGCACCATCATTTTTAACAGTTAATTCTAACATTCTCATGAATAACCTCAGCTGATAGTCTGATATTGTCCAGCAACTGGCACAAGACACAACTTACATTTCTTCTTTCCTTTCTTTTTTTTTTTTTAAAGTAAGTGTGTGTGTGTGTGTGTGTGTGTGTGTCCAGAATCATAAGCCTACCCTACACCGACTGGAAACAGGCAAGCCCCCATCTCCAGACTGGCAGATCAGGTCTTTAGCCCCTAGGCCCCACCCATCGGGGCCCCAGGGACCAGACAGCTACCTTTCCCTGCTCCCCCACCAAAAAACCAAAAAAAACAAAAACCAACCCCTATGAACCTAACAACCACTGGAGCCATAAGCACACCCTGTACCAACTGGGAACAACTGGTCCCTGAGACAGAACCCACTAACACTGATTGGACTAAGCTGCTTCCAGAAAAACAGAGCCCAACAGCACCGATTTGACCAAGAACTCCTAGTGGACCAAGATTAACAATTAGATCAAGAGAGGCACCTTCAGACACAGACACTGCCTGCACCGAGCAGAGGAAGAGATAAGTAGACGCCAGTGCAAAAATACAGGCAACAACATAAAGACCTATATGACAACATCAGAACCTAGTGATTCTACACCTGCAAGACCTGAACATACCAAGGCAGAAGAAATCAATCCTAAAAATGACTTTAAGAAGATGATAGAGGCCCTTAAAGAGGAAATGAAAAACTCCCTTAAAGAGGAAATAAAAAATTCCCTTAAAGAAAGGGAAGAAAAAACAAACAAAAAATTGGAAGAAATCAAAGAAAGCCAAGAAAAAGTAATTAAACAGATGAAGGAAACAGTTCAAGATTTGAAAATTGAAATTGAGACAATAATTTCTCAATTGAGAAAACACAAACTGTGGGAATCCTGGAAATAGAAATTCTGACTAAATGAACAGGAACTACAGAAGCAAGCATAACCAACCGAATGCAAGAGATGGAACAGAGCTCTGACGTTGAAGACACAATAGAGAAAATGGATTCATCAAAGAAAACACTAAAGACAAAAAAGTCATAACACAAAACGTCCAAGAAATTTGGGATACCATAAAAAGACCAAACCTAAGAATAACAGGGATAGAAGAAGGAGAATACCAACTCAAAGGCACAGAAAATATATTCAACAAAATCATAGAAGAAAACTTTCCTAACCTAAAGAAAGAAATACCTATGAAGATACAAGAAGCTTACAGAACACTGAATAGGCTGGATCCAAAAAAAAAGTCCCCTCGCCCATAATAATCAAAACACTATAAACATACAGAAGAAAGAAAAAATATTAAGAACCTCAAAGGAAAAAGGCCAAGTAACATACAAAGGCAGACCCATCAGAATAACACCAGAGTTCTCAATAGAGACGATGAAAGCCAGAAGGTCCTGGACAAATGTTATGCAGACACTAAGAGACCACGGATGCCAACCCAGACTATTATACCCAGCAAAACTCTCAATTACCATAGGTGGAGTAAACAAAATATTCCATGATAAAACCAGATTTAAACAATACCTATCCACAAATCCAGCCCTACAGAAAGCACTAGAAGGAAAAATCCAACCTAAAAAAGCTAAACACACCCATGAAAACTCAGGCAATAGATAATTCCACATCAACAAATACCAAAGAAGGAAAACGCAACACTACCACAAAAAAAAACCCAGGAATTAACAATCATTAGATAAGAAAACAGGATCCATCCTTCTGCTGCATACAAGAAACACACCTTAACTTCAAAAACAGACACTATCTCAGAGTAAAGGGCTGGGAAAAGGCTTTCCAAGCAAATGGACCTAAGAAGCAAGCTGGTGTAAATATCCTAATATCTAATAAAAATAGACTTCAAACTAAAATCAATCGAAAGAGATCAGGATGGACATTACATATTTATCACAGGAAAAATCCACCAAGATGAAGTCCCGATTCTGAACATTTATGTCCCAAATACAAAGTCACCCACATTCATAAAAGAAACATTACTAAAGTTTAAATCGCACATCAAACCCAACACATCAGTAGTGGGAAATTTCAACACACCACTCTCACCAAAAGACAGATCTACCAGACTGAAACTTAACAAAGAAATAAAGGACCTAACAAAAATGGCAATCTTACCAAAAGCAATCTACAGATTCAATGCAATCCCCATCAAAATCCCAACACAATTCTTCACAGACTTGGAAAAAAAGTACACAACTCCAAACATGGAAAAACAAAAGACCCAGGATCGCTAAAAGAATCCTATATAATAAAGCAACCTCTGGAGGCATCACCATCCTTGACCTCAAGCTCTACTATAGAGCTATAGTAATAAAAACAGCTTGGTACTGGCATAAAAACTGACATACAGACCAATGGAATCGAATTGAAGATCCTGACATTAATCCACACACATATGAACACCTGATTTTTGACAAAGAAGCCAAACTATACAATGGAAAAAAGAAAGTATCTTCAACAAATGGTGCTGGTATAACTGGATGTCAATATGTAAAAGATTACAAATAGATCCATATTTGTTACCATGCACAAAACTCAAGTCCAAGTGGATCAAAGACCTCAACATAAATCCAGTTACACTAAACTTGATAGAAGAGAAAGTAGGAAGTACTCTTGAACACACTGGCCCAGGAGATCATTTCCTAAATATAACACCAGCAGCACAGACACTGAGAACAACAATCAATAACTGGGACCTCTTGAAACTGAGAAGCTTTTGTAGAGCAAAAGACATGGTCATTAATACAAAAAGACAGCCTACAGAATGGGAAAAGACCTTCACCAACCCCACATCTGACAGAGGACTGATCTCCAAAATATATAAAGAACTCAAGAAACTAGACTCAAAATACTGAACAATCCAACTAAAAAAATGGGTTAAAGAGTTAAACAGAAGCCGGGCGGTGGTGGCGCACGCCTTTAATCCCAGCACTCGGGAGGCAGAGCCAGGCGGATCTCTGTGAGTTCGAGGCCAGCCTGGTCTCCAAAGCGAGTTCCAGGAAAGGCGCAAAGCTACACAGAGAAACCCTGTCTTGAAAAACCAAAAAAAAAAAAAAAAAAAAAAAAAAAAAAAAGAGTTAAACAGAGAATCTCAAATGGCTGAAAGACATTTAAAGAAATGCTCAACATCCTTAATCATCAGAGAAATGCAAATCAAAACGATTCTGAGATACCACCACCTTACACCTGTCAGAATGGCTATGACAAAAAAAAACACTAATGATAGTCAATGTTGGAGAGGATGTGGAGCAAAGCGAACACTCCTCCACTGTTGGTGGGAATGCAAAGTTGTACAACCACTGTGGAAATCAGTATGGCGGTTTCTCAGAAAATTGGGAATCAATCTACCTCAAGACCCAGCCATACCACTCTTGGGCATATACCCAAGGAATGCTCAATGCCACAAAGATACATGCTCAACTATGTTCATAGCAGCACTATTTGTAATAGCCAGAACCTGGAAACAACCCAAATGCCCGTCAACTGAAGAATGGATTAAGAAAATGTGGTACATATACACAATGGAGTACTACACAGCAGAGAAAAACAATGACAGCATGAAATTTGCAGAAAAATGGATGGAACTAGAAAATATCATCCTGAGTGATGTAACCCAAACCCAGAAGAACAAACATGGTATGTACTCACTCATAAGTGGATACTAGATATAAAGCAAAGAACAATCAGACTGCAACCCACAGAACCAGGGAGGCTATATAGCAGAGGGGACCCTAGGATGACTGTGGCTTATAATAAGTTTTGGTTTTACTCAATCACTGGGCAAGCCTCAGTGAAACATTTCACTAATAGGATAAGAATTTGTACTGTATCAAGCTGATAATAGAAAATAAATAAATAAATAAAAATGAAAAGAAAAAAAGTTTGAAAGGAAAAAAAAAGTAGTCGACCAATGTATAATGGACTCTACAGTTTGTCTGTGAGCTTTTATTTGGTTACAGTTGGTGTTTTGTTTGGGGTGGTATTTTATCTTATTTCCTTGGTTTTGTTGTATTGGTTTTCTGTTTTTTGAGAAAGAACTTAAAGTTATATGGGTAAGGAGGGGGAGAGGATCAGGAAGGACTTGGGGGAGGGGAAGAATATGATAAAAATTTATTTAAAGTTAAAAATTGTTTTAAATAATAAAAATTTAATAAGAATTTTAAAAAAGATTTATTTATTTTGATTTTATGTGTGTGTTCATATGCATGTATATATGCCTACCAGAATGTATGCATGTTTGGTGCCCATGGAGATCAAAAGAGGGCATCAGATCTCCTGGAACTAGAGTTATAGGTGGTTGTGAGTCATCATGTGGGTGATGGGAATTGAACCTGGGTCCTCTGGAAGAGTAGCCAGTGCTCTTAACCACTGAACCATCACTCCAGTCCACAACTTACATTTCTAAACTTGGCTGTCCATGAATCCATGTGGTCAAGAAGCTGTCTATTCATAGTGACTCTCGCCCAGACCTGTTTAAAAGAAAAAAAAAGGCCCTTCAGATACACTAATATTCATTTAATTAGCAGTTAGTAATTTTCTTATTATAAACTCATGGTTGTTGTTCATGAACAAATATGTCTTTAAAAGTTCCTTATTCTGGCCAGGCGGTGGTGGGAGGCAGAGCCAGACAGATCTCTATGAGTTCGAGGCCTATAGAGCAAGATCCAGGACAGGCACCAAAACAACACAGAGAAACTCTGTTTTGAAAAACCAGAAAATTCCTTATTCTGGTAGGTTAGAGCATCTGTGTGTTTTGCTTTCAAGCACAAAGTAAAAATATAAAAGCCCATATCTGATATTAAATGGATGAAGAACAGACTGGCAAATGTACTTTTTTTTTTTTTTTTTCTCCGAGACAGGGTTTCTCTCTGTAGTTTTGCGCCTTTCCTGGAACTCACTTTGTAGACCAGGCTGGTCTCGAACTCACAGAGATCCTCCTGCCTCTGCCTCCCGAGTGCTGGGATTAAAGGCGTGCGCCACCACCGCCCGGCTTGGCAAATGTACGTATTTTAAAAGCAATGGTCTGGCATACTGAGAATTTTTTAATTATTTATTTTTATTTTATGTGCATTGGTGTTTTGCCTCACGTATGTCTGTGTTGAGGATGTCAGATCTCTGGAACTGGAGTTACGGAGAGTTGTGAGCTGCCATGTGGGTACTGGGAACTAAACCAGGGTCCTCTGGAATAGCAGTCAGTGCTCTTAACTGCTGAGCCATCTCTCCAGCCCCGAGAATTTCTTTTTATTTTTTATTTGGTGCAGTGCTAAGGATGAACCATAGGGCCTTGTGCATGCTACACAAGTAGGTACTCTACAACTGAGTTAATACCTAGTTGTTGAGAACCTTCTTTCTAATGATCGTAGGAAGGTATTTTAGGCAGGACAGTTTAGTCAACTATGTGTCATAAACTAAAAATTTCAATGACAAAAACTATTCCACAAATGAATATAATTTATATTTCTAACCAGTAAAAGTGAAGATCATAGGAAAAAAGTTTTCTAGAGATAAACTATTTTCTAGCAATCTGAAAATCATAATATATGAAATCATTTTTATTTTCCCTTTACCTCTTCTGCAGCTTGCTTAGAACTGAGATCAGCTTCATCTTTGTTAGCACATGGGGCCTGAGACCTACAGGCCAGCTGATATTGAAACTTCTTTAAGGTTTGTGCATAGTCCCCCACAGAACGACTGTAATTCCAGAAGGTAGGGCTGGTGGAAGAGGAGGTGGAATCTGGGCTCCCTGCAATGAAAAACGGAAGAGTTTGAGTTCTTATAGTAACTTTTTATGTAGCATAACTCAGAGACACTGGGTATCTAGGAACTAGGCAACTTCTGACAATACTCAAGGAACCAGAAGAAAAGCACTCCCCTACAGTACTCAAGGAACCAGAAGACAAGCACTCCCCTACAGTACTCAAGGAGTCAGAAGACAAGCACTCCCCCACAGTACTCAAGGAACCAGAAGACAAGCACTCCCCCACAGTACTCAAGGAGTCAGAAGACAAGCACTCCCCCACAGTACTCAAGGAACCAGAAGACAAGCACTCCCCCACAGTACTCAAGGAACCAGAAGACAAGCACTCCCCCACAGTACTCAAGGAACCAGAAGACAAGCACTCCCTTACAGAACTCAAGGAACCAGAAGACAAGCACTCCCCCACAGTACTCAAGGAACCAGAAGACAAGCACTCCCCCACAGTACTCAAGGAACCAGAAGACAAGCACTCCCTTACAGAACTCAAGGAGTCAGAAGACAAGCACTCCCCCACAGTACTCAAGGAACCAGAAGACAAGCACTCCCCTACAGTACTCAAGGAGTCAGAAGACAAGCACTCCCCCACAGTACTCAAGGAACCAGAAGACAAGCACTCCCTTACAGAACTCAAGGAGTCAGAAGACAAGCACTCCCCCACAGTACTCAAGGAACCAGAAGACAAGCACTCCCCTACAGTACTCAAGGAGTCAGAAGACAAGCACCCCCACAGTACTCAAGGAGTCAGAAGATAAGCACTCCCCCACAGTACTCAAGGAGTCAGAAGACAAGCACTCCCCCACAGTACTCAAGGAGTCAGAAGATAAGCACTCCCCCACAGTACTCAAGGAGTCAGAAGATAAACCCAGTAGCATCTCCCCTGGCCCCCAACATTATCTTCTCTTTGGAGCTCACTGGTTAGAAATTAAAAAGAGCCGGGCGGTGGTGGCGCACGCCTTTAATCCCAGCACTCGGGAGGCAGAGCCAGGCGGATCTCTGTGAGTTCGAGGCCAGCCTGGACTACCAAGTGAGTTCCAGGAAAGGCGCAAAGCTACACAGAGAAACCCTGTCTCGAAAAACCAAAAAAAAAAAAGAAATTAAAAAGAACATAAAAGAATATTACTAAGCACTATCAACTTAAGAGGCCTAAGAATTATGAATAGTTGGAAGAGTCTTGTTTCTTTCGGTTGTAAAATTAAGCTTGTTATTCTCTAAGATGGTTAATGATCAGGAAGACCAAATGTTTGGAAGTCCTCTGAACGGAGTTAACAGCAGCACTGTTAAAAAGCCTTTCTGAACTGCAGGCTATACAAATTGTGTTTCCCATGGTACCCTGTAGTAATTCCTGTGTTGATTAAAACTATCTGTGAAATTTATGAACGGCCATCTAGGAGTCCCTTGCCATCAGGGCCTCCTCTTACTTAAGGCCCTTACTGCACTTAAGGACTAGTCAGTCTGCACTCCCCAAGAGAAGCTAAGTTCTTTTACAGCAGGAATGACTTCTTTTCCACCAGCATGTAGCACAGCTAACAAACGAGTCCTCAGTAACAAGTGTACTTATGAAGGGCTTATTCTTTCAGAGTCTGAGACAAGGTTTCCTTACAGCCTGCCCAGAATACACAAAACTCTGCTAAAACTGAAAAGTAAACAACAAAAATCATACAAATTACCAGCAAATGAGACCCCAAGCATAAAAACCAACTGCAAAAGTGGAGGAATTTAGTCTCCAAGAATTTCAGATAATTGAACTGTTGGACCAACTTTGAAAAAGTGGGTTTAACATCACTGAGGTAGCCAGACAGTGGTGGCGCACACCTTTAATCCCAGCACTCGGGAGGCAGAGGCTGGCGGATCTCTGTGAGTTCGAGGCCAGCTTGGGCTACAGAACGAGATCCAGGACAGGCTCCAAAGCTACACAGAGAAACCCTGTCTCCAAAAAAAAAACAAAAAAACAAAACAACAACAACAAAATCAAGCATATTTGAGAGAAGCTAAACTTTGAGTCCAAAGTGACTAAAAACAACCTCTCTGAGAGATAACAAGGTTGTTCTTTATAGAAGAATGCCAGATGACTCAATGTGGAAGGAACCCACAAGCAAGTCTCCATTTGCAATCATCTTTGCATTGATCCATTTCAGCAAGCTCTCTGGGGGATCACCGCAGCAAGGGTGGCTGGGAGCAAGAAATCCAAGGAAAACTACTGCGAAGGAACCTGCTTCCAACCATCGTGACCAAGTGATGCAATTCTCTATCAGCGGAGACCAGTGTGCCACACACCTCCTAATCTACCACAGAGACAAGCCACCAAGCTGTGTTCCTACCAGAAAACATTTGAAGTTAACGCTTATGAAACAACTGGACAAAACCCAATTTTCACAACAGCCTGATGTCTTTACAAATATGTCATAAAGATACACATACGCACACCTAGGTTAAAGAAGGCAAAGGAAATGCAACTAAATGGAGCGGCCTGCATCAGTAAAAGAAAAGAGTAAAAAAGTAAGTTCTTTTTGGGGGGAAAAAGGTCATCACTGGGTCAACTGTATTAATGTGTCTGAGTTAGAGAGGTATCAAAAGAAATGAATTTTGAAGTTATAGAGGAAATGTCCTGTTCTCAAGAGACATGTGGAATACTAAGGGATAAAGTGTCACAGTCTACAATTTGTTTTAAATGACTCAGCAAAACCTCTCAGGCATGTATGAGGAAGAGAGGCTATGAATGTGTGAATGTCTGCCTAGCTTCTCACTCTTGGAAAACTGAGTTGGGAATATGGAACTGGAATTATCTATATAGACTATTTGTTAGTTGTATGTTATGAGAACCTAAAATATGATACCTAAGTAACAATAGCATGCCCAGTACTCAGATATTAATTTTTTTTTTTTTTTTTTTTTGTATTTTGAGACAGGGTTTCTCTGTGTAGCCCTGTCTGGTCCTGGATATCACTATGTAGACCAGGCTGGCCTCGAACTCACAGAGATCCGCCTGGCTCTGCCTTCCAAGCGCTGGGATTAAAGGCATGTGCCACCACTGCCCTGCCAGATATTAATTTCTAAAAACCATTCTCCTCAAAAGAACCCAGTCTTATGAAAAGCGGAGCAACTCCAGGGCCAGCCAGGGAGAGTCCAGAATGATTCTCTATTATTGTGTGGTTTTAGACAGTGGGGGGTAGAGAAGACAGGCAAAAACGGGAAAGACAGGGTACAGATGGGTAAGACAATGTTTCAAGAAAGACATCAAGAATACAGAAGTCTTTTCTTTTTTTTTTTTTTTTTGAGACAGGATCTCACTCTGTAGCCCTACCAACTGTCTTGGACTCACTAAGTAGACCAGACTGGCCTGTAACTCACAGAGATCCACATGCCTCTACACTGGAGAGGTGAAATTAAAGGAGTGTGCCACCACATCCAGCCAAAAATAAATCTTAAAGAAGAAAAAAAAAAGTCAAGTCATTATGGACTATTGATGTCAGGCAGTCCTAGGGAAGCCGAGGTAAGTGGATCCCTGGGGCAGCTGGCAAGCCAGCATAACTTAACTGCCAAATTTCAGGCCAATGATAGATCCCATGTCAAAAACCAAAGTGAACAGCACCCAAGGAAGGGGCATCTGAGACTGACCATATGTACACACATGAATCCCAATGCACGGGGGGAAATATATGTGGGATGATACAATTAGAAAGTCCCATACACACAGGCCTAGTACTCAGGAGACTGCGTCAGGAACATAGTAAGTTTGAAGATTGCCTAGAAGACATAATGAATTCCAAGCCAGCCTGCATGACTGTCTCAAAAGCACAAAGACATAAAAATCCCCATGAGAACACAGCAATAATTTTGAAAAGAATTTTAAACCAATGTTAAAAGCAGCATTAAAATTTGTAACAGGATATTTACATAGCCTGAGAGCAAGGAGGTTTGCAAAAATTTTGTATTAATTTATGCTGACTATTTAAATCACCTAAAGCCTAAGAACACAGCAGAATGGTTAAAAGTACAGACACACACAAAGACACACCAGGCAAAGAGCTAGAGAGCAGAATTCAGAGTGCATGTTCTTTTCAATGTGTCAGAACCATTTATACAAAAGTGACCAGAGAGCCTCCAAGCAAGTCTAAGATTAAAAAGCCTTCCCTACACAGGGAAAGAAGAGAAACCTCAACATTAATAGATATGGATCAGAATCTCTAACCGCAGCACAATTAACTTAGGAAGAAATAAAGATAACTAGGTCTTGTCTGGCTTGACAGTGAAAAGCAATAGCAATAACACTTACAAACATCGATAACAATACTTCTAAATGGGAGAGAAAAAAGAAATGAAAAATATCTGAAATCATAAAAGATATGTATCAATTGTTCTTTGTGCTACTCTATAATTTTCAGTATACTTCAAATAGCTCAAAATTTCAAAAAAGAAGAAAGTAACAAGATAATATTGATTTGTTTCTTTGACATTTGTGGCACTTGCAGGCAGAATTAAATTAAAAACCCCTAGAGAGATTTCAAGCGACACAAAGAGCCATGCTCCAATAACTTGGCTTCTTCACCATGGCCACGCTTTTGCACCTAATGCGCTTTCTGTGGAAGTTCCTGGGGGGAAATCATTACTCAGTTCAATAACCTAATTTGGTTTCAAATAATTGACTTTGTAATAATCAAATCCACCTCAAACAGATTAAGACTTGCTAACACTGTTTCCCTAGGTAAACTATAGGCTTTAAGGGATTATTAAGAGACAAATTTTAAAATGTTACTAAAAAACAAACAAACAACAACAACAACCCAGTAGCACTTACGAGCAACATCTCTCCATCTCCCCACCCTCTCACCTCCGCCATGCACATCAGTCTTCCAGAAAGACTAGCAGAGAACTATCATTTGAATAAGCTTTGCTACACACTGCTTGAAAACACACACAGCCACGATTTAGGGAAATTCTAGCTTGTGTGAAGAACTTTTAAATTTACCACAGAGAAAGATTCAAGACTGCTCAGGTCAACTATGTTTTACCTCCTAAGTTTAACAGCTAATGTGCTATCAGTTTAAGGATTGTGTAAAGTGAACACAAAAATAACGTGCATCAGATGTAAACAAACTCCAGTTACCCAGCTTGACTCTGTGCTGCTTCTCCTCCTCACTCCTGAGGAAAGTGTCCAGAGTGCGCAGGTCTGTCATGTAGTCTTCTTTGTCAGTGGGTGAGTTATAGACCGTGGGGGAAGAACGGTAGCGAGACCTCACCCCACTGCTCTCCACTGGGCCCACGGTGGTAGGGTATGGAGAAGAAGGAGACAGACTAAAGCTTGCCAACTGCACAAAAGGAAAGGATGGGGCTTACTTCCAATTGAAATCTAAACATTCATTTTGGATTTTTAAAAGTAATACATGCCGGGCGGTGGTGGTGCACGCCTTTAATCCCAGCACTCGGGAGGCAGAGCCAGGCGGATATCTGTGAGTTCGAGGCCAGCGTGGGCTACCAAGTGAGTTCCAGGAGAGGCACAAAGCTACACAGAGAAACCCTGTCTCGAAAAACCAAAAAAAAAAAAAAATAATAAAAAAAATAAATAAAAGTAATACATGCAAGCTATCTCTGAAATGCTGGCACACAGGAGGAGGAGGCAAGAAGGCTGAGTTCAAGACCAGCCTCTGCTACATGGGCAATTTGAGGCCAGCCTGGCTGCATGAGGCTCTATCTAAACAACAACAGTTTAAAAAAACACAACACAGCACAACACAGCAGAGCCAGGAAGACGGCTTAGCAGGTAAAGGTGCTTGCCACCCAAAGATACAAGCCTGACAACCTGAGTTTGAGTCACACTAATAAAATAAAAATTATCTTGAGTAATTTTTCAGTCTTGAAATGTATTTAGAAAAAACTGTGGTTGCACATAATCCCAGTATTTGGGAGATGAAGGCATCAGGTTCAAGGTTCATCATCCTCAGCTACACTGTGAGTCTGATGCTAGCTTGCGCTACATGAAACTGCCTATATCTCAAAAAAGAAAAGAAAAAGAAAAAGCTACACTACAGCCTGCAATCCCAACTACGCTGGGATGGATGGCTGAGACAGGAGGATCCTAAGTGCAAGGCCTGACTGGGAAACACATGGACATGGACACTACATAAAATAAATTTTTAAAAATTATTTCTCGGGGCTGGAGAGATGGCTCAGAGGTTAAAAGCACTGACTGCTCTTCCAGAGGTCCTGAGTTCAATTCCCAGCAACCACATGGTGGCTCGCAACCATCTGTAATGAGATCTAGCACCCTCTTCTGTATACATAATAAATAAATCTTTAAAAAAAAAAAACAAACAACCCAAACCAAAACAAAACAAAAGAAAATTATTTTTCATTCTGTTCTATGCATTTACATTTCTTTTGAGTTTTTGGCTGTTATGAACATCACTGTACATAAATCTTTGCCTGAATTTTTGATAACTTTAAAAATTAATTTTGATTACATTTACTCATGGGGGCGGGTGTGTGTGTCTGCATGCAATGCTAGTGTGTGCCATAGGGCGGGTGGTGTGCCTGTGGGAGGACAGCCTTTCGGAGTTGCTTCCCTCCTCCTACCATTCGAGGCCTGGGTCAGACTCACGTCCTCAGGCTGGGGGCAGACTCCTCTACCTGCTGGGCCCGCTTGCTGGTCCTTCTGCCTCTTTAGGGCACACTCCTCAAACTGAAATGATCTGGCCAGAGCAGATCACCCTTTTAGACACTCACTTGCATCCATTAAGTAAAAGTGTTACCGTAAGTCATATTCCTGTCAGGAAAGGACAGGGGATCTGTTTTGGTATATGTTCATCAATATTACTACTTTAAAATGTTTGTTGCATGTAGAAGAATTTCTCTTTTCATCAGATTTGTAAAACAAGAACTTTACTCACTGAGCCATCTCCCTGGCCTAGAAACCTTCCAGGCCAGCCTGGTCTACAGAGAGAGTTCCAGGACAGCCAGGAATACACAGAAAAACCCTGACTCAAACAAAAACAAAAACAAAACAAAACCAAAAAGCCATACTCAGGAGGGCAAAGAATATAATCAAAATATATTCTATAAATTTTTTTAAACAAAAAGAAAAAAAACTTATTTTCTTAAAAAAAAAAAAAAAATCTGGAGCTGGAGTGGATTAAGAGCACTGACTGCTCTTCCAGAGAACCCAGGTTCAATTCCCATCACCCACATGGCAGCTCACAACTGTCTGTGACTCCAGTTCCAGGGGATCCAACATGCTCACACAGACAAATGTGCACATAAAATAAAAATAAACAAATGAATAAATAATCCATACTAGCCTGTGGGTTATCAATTATAACCACACATTTCTCATAGCATTTAACTTCTACAAAATTAAAAAATTCTACTCCCTAACATTGGCTAACTAGTAGCATGGAATTTCCTTTTCCAACAGTTAGGTGACAGGCTGAGACAGGCTGCTGCTTTCTTCTAGGCCACCTTCTTCAATCCAGTAGCTAGAGATGCTAGCCCGACATGACAGTCAGAGCTTCTGACAGACTGCTTCTCTTCTGATCCTTTCTTGCAGCCTTATGGCTTACAGAATTTAAATTTCAACATACAACTTTTGCTAGTAATACCCTAAAAATTTAGACCAGCACTGATATTACTACAGAATTTAAAGATTTCTACCCTCGACACATCAAGCGTCCATACTCCAGAACCAAACCACATAAGAGGATCAGACATGATCCTAAATTCTACAAGAGAAAGTGAAGCTTTCACACAAAAAAGCTTTAAAAGGGAAAATATGCATAAAAGAAACCAAAGTTTCAAATTATTTCAAGACTTGAAACTAGCTGGTGACTGTCATGTTTTGTCATCTTCAAAAGCGCTCATGTTAGGATGTTGTTTAAAGAACTTCGGACTGAGTGACAGGACACTCGGTTTCTGTTCTTGGCTCTCACTGGGTGATTTGAGTGCAACTCCCAATTCTAAAATAGCACTACTGGCCAAACAAGACGAGTCATTACCTTATTATAACCACTGAGTGGAGAGTAGGTCACAGCAGGGCTATAGGAACCACTGCCACCTGACGACAGACCTTGCAGTTGAGGGCTGTACCCAGTCATGCAGCTGGCGGCAAACTTGGGACTGGGACTGGGGGAACGAGACGGGCTATAACTCAATACACTCTGACCCTGGATTGAAGGGGAAGGTGGCGAGGGAGGGACTTGGGTGGCTGCCAGATCCCGGGGAGGTGTAGTCTGCACGACTAGAAGGAAGAGAACAGAAATCACACACACAATAGATGCTTAAATGAAAACACAAAGTTAAAAATTAGGGCTTGCTATGTAATTCAGGCTAGCCTTGACCTTAAGCTCTTCCCACCTCAGTCTCTTGAGTATAAATACAATTATGAAAACAGATTTGCCGGGCGGTGGTGGCACACGCCTTTAATCCCAGCACTTGGGAGGCAGAGGCAGGTGGATCTCTGTGAGTTCGAGGCCAGCCTGGTCTACAAAGCGAGTTCCAGGAAAAGGGCAAAGCTACACAGAGAAACCCTGTCTCGAAAAACAAAAACAAAAAAAAAAAGAAAACAGATTTAAGGGCTGGGTGTGGTGGCACATGCTTTTAATCCCAACAGTTGGGAGGCAGAGGCAGGTGAATCTCTGAATTTGAGGCCAGGCCAGCTTGGACTGCCACGGCTATGTAGAGACATCAAAAGAAAGTAACAGAAGGGTCTGGCTAGTAAATTACATGAAGCATTATTATAGAAACACAACTAAGCAGTTGTTTACCACTTCCACGATGCTCAAAACAGTATATGTAACATGAAGTTGTCTGATATTCCACTCAATGCATACAAATAACAGTGATACTCACATGACCATTTTCTATAGATTGGCTCAATGTAATAGACGGCCTTCTAGCTCAGAGTCTATGAGAAGGACAGCTAAGGAGGAGGACCACTGCCTTCCCCCACTCCCCACTCACCGGCCGTTTTCAGCCCTAACAGCGCTTGCTGCCCGGGGCTGACCACCAGACTTGTCGGTGCTACAGTATATTTGAAGTATCTCCAAAAATCAAATAAGGCATTAAGACTGAAGAGAGATGCCAGGGCAAGTTCTGGAAGAAAACAACAACTATTATTAAAAGTATTCTTTTTATTTACTTGTGGGGTGCGAGTGGGGGATGTGGAGGTCAGAGGACAACTTGGGGTTCTTTTCTTTCACCATATTTGGTTCTGGAGAATCAAACTCAGGTCATAAGGCCTGGTGAAAGGGGCTTTACCCAGTCACCTCTACAGCTCCAATTTGTTTGTTTGATTGTTTGTTTGTTTTTTGATTTTTCAAGACAGGGTTTCTCTGTGTAGCTCAGGCTGTCTTGGAACTCACTTTGTAGACCAGGCAGGCCTGGAGCTCAAAGATCCACCTGCCTCTGTTTCCCAAGTGCTAAGATTAAAGACATGTGCCACCCTGCCTGGCCCAATTTATTATTTTTAAAAGCAAAAAGTTCTTGGTTCCATTTGCAGCAATTTAACATCAAAAATTAAAAAATCAATTTCTCTCTCCTCACAATAGGCACACTTGATTGAAGTCTAGTAGGTGCAGAGCCTTTGCTAGTGAGTTTTAAACTAATTACTAATTCTTATAAACCTGTACAATAGGTATTTTGACATTCATTTTAATAGTCAAGTGAGTTTTAGGAGTCCCAGCTAGTTAGAGAGCCATGACTCTACCGTAGCTTGATGATACTGAATCCCTTCCTTTCCCATCTGCCACGCCCACTCTGATAGATTAAAAAATAACGTTATTTTATGTGTATGAGTGTCTTGCCTGTCTGTATGTATGTTTATCATGTGCCTGCTTGGTATAGGCAGAGGCCCAAAGAGGGTGTTGGATCCCCCTGAACTGGAGTTGTGAGTCACTATGTGGGTGGGTACATGGTCCTCTGCAAAAGCACTATGTGCTCTTAACCTCCGAGTCATCTCTCTATTCCTCCATGACAGATTTCTTTCTTATTTGTTTGTTTTTCTGAGACAGGGTTTCATTGTGTAGCTCTGGCTATCCAGGAACTAACTCTGTAGCCCAGGCTGGCCTTTGACTTATAGAGATCCACCTGCCTCTTCCTCCCAAGTGCTGGGATTAAAGGTGTGTGCCACCACCAGCTCTCCACAATAGATTTCAATTTTCATAGACTACAGATTTATTTTAACATCTCTAGGACTCTTTATGTCCTAAGGATTAATCTGGTCTGGCCTTGAAGGTGAAGAGGTGAAGAGGATATTCCAGGAACGGCACAGGTAAATCTTATCACCCACATGCTTTATTTTCTTTCTTATGACTCCTAACTACCCAACTCTGTATTGTTTATTAGCTTGGCTTATTTGTTTAGAGACAAGGTCTCATGTACCAGGCTGGCCTCCAACTTCTGATTATTCTTCCATTTCACAAGTACTGGGATTAGATGTTCACTACCATTCCTGGCTTCTTCTTCTTCTTCTTCTTCTTTTTTTTTTTTTTGAGACAGGGTTCTGCTATTTATCTCAGGCTGGCCTCGAACTTGAATAATCCTCCTGACTCAGCCTCCTACTAGAATGTTCTTCCCTTAAAAATATTTTCCTGCCAGGCGGTGGTGGCGCACACCTTTAATCCCAGAACTCGGGAGGTAGAGGCAGGTGGATCTCTGAGTTCGAGGCCAACTTGGGCTACAGAGTGAGTTCCAGGAAAGGCGCAAAGCTACACAGAGAAACCCTGTCTCGAAAAACCAAAAATAAATAAATAGATAGATAGATAGATAGATAGATAGATAGATAAAGTGTTTTCCTAGTCTCTTCTCTTTGATTTTCATTGTTTTGGGAAACAGAGTAGGTAACTCATTATTTGTCTGAATGAAAGAGTGAATCATGCCGGGCGGTGGTGGCGCACGCCTTTAATCCCAGCACTCGGGAGGCAGAGGCAGGCGGATCTCTGTGAGTTCGAGGCCAGCCTGGGCTACCACGTGAGTCCCAGGAAAGGCGCAAAGCTACACAGAGAAACCCTGTCTCGAAAAACCAAAAAAAAAAAAAAAAAAAAAAAAAAAAAAAAAAAAAAAAAAAAAAGAAAGAGTGAATCTAAGCCGAATTAAACTTACAAGCAAGTTTTCATTTCTAGTAAATCTAAATTCCAGTGAAAATTAATTACTTACCAATATACCAGAGGGGCCAGTATGTCACATTATAATATGTACTAATTAACTTTCCAGTCCTGAAAAGATTAGAAATGCTTTTCAGTTATTTAAAAATATATATATATATATATCCCCAAAACTCCATCCCAAACAAACCAAACACTGAAAACCAAAAGAAATATGAAAAGCCATAGAAGCAGCCAAGGATGGTTTGAAGTTTCACTTTCGGGCCGATGAACTTACATTTCAGTATATATCATTCCAGCCATGGAGACATTCAGGAGCCCCCAGGCTAAAACCACTTTCCTAGTTTCTGCTTCTTTCCTCATCTTGATGGTTCTGTCAATCAGAGAAGCACTGGGGCCTACGTCTCCTTGCATCTATTCAAAGGCAAAACAAAACAGCCTGGAATTAATCAGAAGAAATCAAAAGTGTCTGTTGTAAAGTAACAACCCCACAGACTTTTCCTCTTCCTTAACACTCCTTCCCAACTTCCCCCCCAACTTTAATATTAGTATATGAAAAGGGAATCCTAAAATGATACTTTCTTTGATACTACAGAGAAATCAACACAGAACTGGTCAGTTATTTCAGAGAAGCTAATGGTTGCAATAAATGATAATGTCTTGTTTCATAATGTAATGGTTTGCTATTAAGTCTGCCAAGAACTCACGGTTTGTCTGTGACTCGAGTATGTTCCTAGGTCTCGATGAAGAGACACAAGATACAAACTTCTGTCATTACTGTGACACACTCTAACCCTGACCTTGGAGTGATACAGATCCGGGATCTCCTTTTGGTGACAAAATGTTAAGGCTTTACTGATGAGGTGGACGGGTACTATCACGTGAAGGGTCAGGAGGGAACACGTGCATTCAGTTTTGACACACTGGGATTGTATCTCCTTTGTCTTGCTAGGCTCAGTTCCGCAACCACTGACACTGGCAGCTCCTGGGAGTCGTATTCTACAGAGCAGACTACTATCCTTCCCGCCATCCAGCCCCGCGCCAAAACTCCCGCCGGCGAGCTTCCCTCCCTGGCTACCTCTGCACAAACTTTAGCCATCCTTCTGTGTCTTCCTTCCCTTCCACTAAAGTGGCAGGACTTCCGGCCACATCCTCCCCTGGCTGAACCCCAGGCACAACTTTAAGCGTGGAACTCCGGGGGACCGCGTGAACTCCACGTCCAGGAAACACAAAGACAACCCCCCAAACGCACCATATTCTTCAGCCGGAAGCCGCGAACTCGCGCCACTCCCTACTGCACATGCGCGAAGCCAAGCCTAAGGCGGCGGCGGGCTGGGAAGACTACAGTTACCGGAAGGACTGAGCTCTCTCTTCTCGCGAGAAGGAGGGGGTTGGGCAGAGAGACCAGGGCAGCGATCGTTGCCAGGGCAACGCCCTGGGATTTGTGGCTCCTACTCAGCTACAGGGAGAAAACTGAGCTGCATAATTCAGACCAGGTTCTGAGCCCTTAGTAAAAAGTAATGACTGTAACAAGCTGAATTTTGAATATTGTCAATTGTAGACTTATTTAGGACCCTTATGGGCTCACATTTGTAAACAGGTTTTATTTAGCCAGATGGCTAATTGTAAGATACAAGCATGCCTGATGTGTCCAGACACAATCAGCAATGACAAAGAAATTTTCCAGCTTTGAAATGTTTTTTTCCCCAGTTGGTCTGACCCAGTGTAAATTCTCAAATATCCACATAATGAGGATGCAGTAGTAGGAAGAAAAACAGAAAGTTCTAGTGAAGTTAGCTGTTTTGACGTTTAAAACAAAACAAAACAAAAAACTACCTTTGCCCTGAACGTTCTTTGAAAGAACTGAGAAAAGGTTCGCCAGGGAGGTGAGTGGGTTTCACTTAGTAGTTAGTACAAGCTCTGACAATGTGTGGAATTGGGGGGTGGGAGGTGGGGAGAAGCTCCCTGGTTATTGCTCCAAAGGGCTTTGCCTGAATCCTACAGGTGAAGTGGAAACAGGGAGACGGGGGAGGTATAACCAGTATAGCCTGGGCTCTGGAAAAGCTTTCTTGGGAGCAGCAACACTGGCCAAGTTAGAGGACTAATGGCCAGTGTGCCCAGGGACTGGGGACTCATTCCTACAGAAAAGTGTGCCAACCATGCATGGTGGTACCTGCCTTTAATCCTGGCACTCAGGGGTCAGAGACATGTGGATCTCTAGAGTTCAAAAACCAGCCAGGGCTACATAATGAGACTGTCTCAGAAAACGTAAATAAATAACAAGATTAAACAGAAAAAAAAATGAAGTTTCATTGTGGTATTGCATATGAAAACTTGCAGTTTATTGTATGCTCTTAAAGAACTAATGGGTTTTTTTTTTAAGTGACATTCTTATGTCTATATTGTCTTAGTATAATGTTGTTTGGATCTTGATAAAGATTAAGAGATGAACTAACTTGAAAACTGTTCAAAGAGAAAGGGTTCAATTCAGTGTACAGTCAAATTAGAATGCCAGGTTCTCTTTTCTCCACATTTAAGTCTATCTATAAAGAAATTGTATAACTTTGATGTAGTTCCTAACGGGGGTCTCTTTCCTCTTTTTTTTTTTTTTTTGGTTTTTCGAGACAGGGTTTCTCTGCGTAGCTTTGCGCCTTTCCTGGATCTCGCGCTGTAGACCAGGCTGGCCTCGAACTCACAGAGATCCGCCTGCCTCTGCCTCCCGAGTGCTGGGATTAAAGGCGTGCGCCACCACCGCCCGGCTCTCTTTCCTCTTTTTAATGTAACAAGCTATTGTGCATTTATTCAAGGCTTATACAACACTTGTCAGATTAAAGTTGATAGATAGTTGCCATTATGTATACCCCAAAACATGAAGTGCCTCCTCCATGGGAAAAAAAAATTAGAGACCATACTTTAAAAGAGTAGACATTGTTCCCGCACATCCTTTGGGAAGATGTCAGGAGGGCTGGATTCTTCTGAGCCTGGTGTTGCTGGCTTGCAGATGGCCTCATCTTAGGCTCTCTTGTGGCCTTTTTGCCTATGTTGGTGAGTCCTTGGTGCCCTTTCCTCTCCTAGAGACTGCTAGCTAGATTAAGGCTCTACCCTTGTGACCTGATTGAGCCTCCATTAATGTCTGTAAAATCTTTTTGAAGTTACGTTTATTTACTGTGTGTATATGCCTATATGTGGGTGCACAAATGTCACAGTGAACACAGGGAGGTCAGAATACAGTTGGAGGGAGTCAGTGGTCTCCTTTCGCCATGTGGGTCTCAGGGGATTGAACTCAGGTCGAAAGTCTTGGCATCAAATGCCTTCACCCACTGAACCATCTCACTGTGTCTTTACTACCTGTGTTCTGCCTTATCTCCAAATACAAGATGGTACTGAAGGCGTCAACATTCAAGTTTTAGGGAACACACAATGCAGCCTGTAATACATTAGAATTGTGTATGTTAATTTACAATGGTATGGTACACATTTAAAAAGGGTAGAGACTGATAAAAAAAAAACAATACCTTAAACACTTAAACGGATGAAGATAAACATTATGTAAGTTTGAAAGTTCCTAGGCAGAAGAAAGTATACTGAGAAATTCAGGAAATTACCCTACACTATTCAAGATGTCATTTAGATAAACGTGCCCATCTAATCCAAGAATATTTATCAGTTCCTGCAACAGTTGCTTAGGTGTATGTCATAATAGGTTGCCAGGGAAGTTGTCATAGGCCATGGAGGGAAATCGTTCCCAGTCACCTTTAGCCCTTTGAGCATGTTTTATTTTCTAAACCAGAAGCTATCATGGGAGACCTTTTGTCTTTATTCTGGGGGGTGGACCCCCCTCCCAGGCCCCTCAGTTTTACCATTCCGAGTCAGGATGCCGAGTGCCGGAAAGACGACTCTTGTGGGACAATAGGAAGTTTCCTGCTTTGGTATTTCATCGTCATACTGATCCTCATGTTTTTCTCTCGGGCTTCTGTCTGGGTAGGGAATCCTTTTCTCTTTAAATCGTATCTTTATAAGGTTTTTCGTCAACTACATTGTCTGTACTTTGATGAAAGTTACTTTTTCTTTAAGGTTTTTGTTTTGTTTAAAAATGATGCAATTTAGCCGAGCAGTGGTGGCGTATGCCTTTAATCCCAGCGCTGGGGAGGCAGAGGCAGGAGGATCTCTGTGAGTTCGAGGCCAGCCCGAGCTATAGAGTGAGTTCTAAGAAAGGTGCAAAGCTACACAGAGAAACCCTGTCTCGAAAAACAAAACAAAATGATGCAATTTCACGCCAGAGCCATGATAAGATACTGAAAAGAAAAAAGAACATTAAAAGTGCTCTTCTCCTTTTCCGTAGAGATAAATACTGATAAATTTGTGGAGAACTTCCTTCTAGGTTACTTTTTTCCCCTCCTTTTTCTCAGTGTATCTCTCTATCCTTGCTCTTTCATAGTCAAACTTATATTTTATGTATTTTCATATCCCGACTTTTGAATTTAATGTTTTGTAAATACTTCCCCATGTTATAGTCATGCAACAGCACCTTTCATTGTAACTTTTCTGTCTTGTGGCTGCACTATAAAAATTCTGCAGTGGAAGCGGGGCAGTGGTGGCACACACCTTTAATCCCAGCACTCGGGAGGCAGAGCCAGGCAGGTCTTTGTGAGTTTGAGGGTAGCCTGGTCTACAGAGCGAGATCTAGGACAGGCACCAAAACTGCACTGAGAAACGCTGTCTCGAAAAACCAAAAACCAAACCAAACCAAACCAAAAACAAAAACAAATTCTGCAGTTGAAAATTTAGGTTGTTTACATTTTGTCCATATGCTATGTAATACTGAGATAAATCTCTCTACTGGTTAATGACTTCCAAATCCCTCTTATAGCCATATAATTCTATTATCAAAGATATAAATGTTTGTCATGTTGATAGGACACATGTAGGATTTGGGGAGTGGTTAGAATGAAGTAGTATGTTTTATGCATAGAATAAGATACAGAATTAAACTAAACAGAGCCAAAGTCAGCACTGTTAGTCACAGATTAGCAAAAGAAAATGCTAGAAGTATAGGAATGGTATAGTCCACTTTATCAAGGTTGTGGCCCTCAACATATTTTGAGCAACCAACCTCTTATAAATTGCTGACACAGAATCTTTTCTGGCCATTAATAATGGACTGGTGATTAATCAAGCTACCATCATTTAGCATTACAGCCAGAGCTCACCGCTGGCAGTGGTCAGCTAGATTGAGTGCTACATTAGTTCTGGATGGAGAAGAGAAGGTTTGTTATTTCCATGCCAGGTAGATTCCATTATAATAATAAAAAACTCTTCCCCCTACTACCTCCTGGCCAAAAAGTTTTATCTGAAGTCTAAATGCTTCTTAAGGTAAATACTTTGCCAGAAGGAGAATCAAAACTGTGATAGCTTATATGTGTTTAGACTCCCTAGCTAAGTATATTGAATTTGGCCTGGCCAGAAAAGCTACTTTAGAAAATTAACAAAAACTTGGAATTGATCACTGGCAATTTCATCATGAAGACCAGTTAAGAGGTCTAAGCCGTTCTTTTATTCTCCTGCTTACATCAGCAATTTAGAGTCCTGGAGCTCTGCTTCAAGGACTGAAGGGGGCATGTGGTCCAGCCTTCTGTCTGTAGGCCAGTAAAATACTTTTATTTTTTTGGTTGATAAAGCCCAAGGAATTTAAGTGACTTGTCCAATGTCACACAAGTGGCCAATGACAGAGTGACAGAGGGAGAATGGATCCAGATTTCCTGCCATATTATTTGTTTACTTCAAAGCATAGTTTGAAATGTTGAATTAAATCTACTCAGTGCTGATTAAAACCTTAATTATCTCTGAGGTTTCATCTTTCACCTTGTGCCCTTGTGGCAGCTACAGTTGGTTGGCCTGCTGCTTCTGAAAGGTCCCAGATTTTGAAATCTGAGACCTGTAGGAGAGCTAGTCAAGGAAGATAGAATTTCCTCCTTTGAAAGGCCCATGGTCTCTGTGAAGCCATGGGCCTCTATCTCCAACCTTAAAGCAGTGGTAAAGAAGGACAGACATGTAGAAATTATCCTCCAAAAAGCAACAAGCCGGTCACCTCCATTTGCCACTTTTACAAAGATGTGTCTTCCCTTTTGTTTCCAGCTAAGAGACACCCCGCTGTCCAGTTGACTTGCTTGTTTAGATTTCCTAAGATTGCGAGTGCTGGTTATTTTCCCAGACGATATTAATCTGAACCCCTTCTT